ATTAGATCATTTCTGTATGTTCATATATCCATCTTGCAAAGAAAATAGTTAAATGTTATTATGTACTCGATCTTAAATTTCAGTGCTTCGAAAGCTGGGCTTCGAGCTATATCTCTAGGTCTTAGTCTAAACGCTCTAACCGATGGCAGGAATTCTTAAATACACTATTTATTTTTTTAAACATTTAGATTTTTGGAGTTAAGTTCATGCATGCAAATGCGTGCCTGTTTGAATTAATTTTTACGCAGTGTGATAGGAAGAATAACTAGCCCCTGATTGGTGGAGGTTAAAATCAATTTTTTTAAAAAAATTAATAAAAATTAAAGGAATGTGTGGTCGAAAAGTTGTTGTCCATCAAATTTGCAGTTAAAATTAATTGTTAATTTTAACTTACATTATAATCAATTTTTTTAACAGTACCAAACTGGGTCTTAATTTGAAAATATAGGTAATAAACATCCTTAACATCTCATTTGCAGATTTGTTTAATAACGTTTCAGCAAGTTGTTATAAAAACAAATCACCATTAATTGAAACCAATATTTTAAAAAGTATAAAACGAGGTTAGACGTGATGGTCAAGTTTCAAGATTTACAAGCCTACTAGAGGGCCAGATGTAAAAATTAAAAAAATAAATAAAAAAGTTAAATATTTTCAGTATTATTTTAAATATTTAATAATTCTGAAATATTTAATAATTAAATTAATACATACCAAACATATAAAATGATAAAATACTATATTTATTTAATAATTCATACAATTAGTCAATTATAAAATTTTTAAATTTTCGAAATGTAATAGTTGAACTATTTTTCATAATTTCAACTATCAACTAGATAAATCCTATTTAAGAAAATTATAAGAATTTCATGTATACTTTCTAGGTTCCCAATGATAAATTAAAATCAAATAAAATTTTCTTTAAAAAGGAAAAAGAAAAATAACAAAGCGAGCCTATACACGCCTAAATGTGTCAAGTTGACCGTTTAATTTGCGCTTATTGTCAAGACAAAGCGTTTGGCAGCGTTTCGTCTAGGCACACTTTTTAAAACGTTGATTGAAACTATTGAATGTCTTGAAAATTGGGTTCTTTCTTTATTAAAGTGTTTATAAAGTCACTTGTATCCACACATTTAAAGGGAACTACAAATACTACACATTCATTCATAACTCATTTTTGTCTATTTATAAACATTTCCCAAACATGCCCGAAATAATCATAGAATCTTCTATGATCATTTATGAACATACAAAATTGTTAATGAATTTCACATTTCTTGTCTAGTTCTAAAAATTAAGCCCCTCTAATACTGAAAAGAGTAAGGGAAAAATTACCTAGAAACCTACATTTAAAGATTAATTTTCATAAATAAGGATGATTCGTTTTAAATTCAAAAATCGGGTGGTAAATAAGGTTAATTAAAATTATAAGATTAAATTAATTTACATACCAACCCAACCCCACTAAATCATTTTCTCGTCTTATGTCTCTCTCTTCTTCATTACCTCTTCTCTCTCTACCCTTTCTCTCGTTCTCTTCCGACTACTCCTCTCCCTCTCTTCCAACGGCTCATTCCCAATGCCACTGCTCTTTTTCTTTCAGTGGTTGTGCACATCACAACGCCGCTTTTTGGGAGCCGCTGCGAGACGTTTAGTTGTGTTGAGGTGGTTTCTTCGCAAATGGTATTTGATCTGACTTCTAGGTGTGCTTGGATCATTTGCACTATGGTTGGTGGTTTTTCGCGGTTATGGTGGTTTTTTGGTGGTCAATGCTTTTTTTGTTACTTCGATCTTTTTAGTTGTTATAGTGGTTTTTTGGTGGTTGATTCTCATCCTCTTCGTTCTCTCTATCTTTCTCCTTCTCTCTCTCTCTCACCCTCTCTACCAACCTACCATCTACAACATCTTTCCAGCATCGATGCGCATGGCGGAGAATAATCACTGTGCGCAACGATGAACAGTTGTGTGCAGCAGAAGAGCAAGGCGTCGTTGCTGCTGTGAGCAGCGGCACCTTGCTTCGCCACCACTGCTCCTGGTTGGGGATGAACACTTTGAAGCTTGGTTATTGATGTAGGGGAAGATTATAGGAAAGACAGAAATCCACACAAAAAGAATTTCAACGAAATTCAAGAAAAACTTTATTTCA